GCCAGTGCTCTCCCTGGTCCTGAGCATGGCTTTCCCTGGGTGATGGCAGCAGCAAACACTTGTGTGGTATGGCAATGCTCTTGAATATGTTTACCTTGGTGGGTTTTTTTATAACTGCTGTGATTAACATTGTGCAAGAAACAAGTTTAACTCTTATTTTCTATATCTTTTATAATAAAGATGTCTTTTGAAAGAACACTGCAGCTGAAGGGGTCTCTGAATTCAGTGTTGCGTTTGCAATTTAGCCTCTGCCTTCGATCTTGTATGGATAATTGGTGTGGAAAAATTTCCTCTTCCCAAGGGATGGGGGGGGAGCTTAGCCAACCTGGCTACAGACTCGCTGTGGTTGCAGTGACACCCAGAGGCTGTGAGTGTGGCACATCCTCTGTGGAGCCACTGAGGAACTGCACGGTCCAAAGAGGCTGTTTTTTCCTGGATAGCTTTGTCAGAGAAGGTTCTAGAAAACAAGGGAGTGGTTCCACGTCTTGCCTGGAAACCAGTCTGCAACATCACATAGGAATTCTGTGGCTGAAGTGGGATTTGAACTGTCTTTCTGAGATCCTGACTTGGAGATTTTATCTTGTTACTTAATACTGCTAAGAGATGGTGCAGAAATTTTCTTTCACATTCTGTAAGCCATAGTGAATAACAAGGGTGATAGTCAGAATACACAGAGCCACTGCAGTGTTAAAGGGGTTCAAGGCTTTTTGTGTACCCCCTGAGGCAGCTGCAAAAGGCAAAGTGGATCCTTCCCTGCTCTGCCTCTGCTGCTGTTGCAGAATCTCTCCTTGGAAGCACCTCCTGCCTTGCCGTGGTACCTGCACCACCTTGCAGTTTAGCTGGCTTAAAATAGTGCTATCTAAACTAGGTTCTTCTAGGTAGTGATTCCCCTGTAGAATCAAATTTTGAGGCTTTCTGGACTATGATTATGCTGATATAGGACATTCTGCCAGGATGGTTTTGGAATGCTGCTTTCAGGGAGTTTCCTGCAGTTTTTGCTGCACTGTTAAGATGCTGCAGTGGTCACATGGTGGTACTGGTCTGTGTGTTCCAGTCCTGCCTCAAATCCATGGGAGAATCTCTTACTCCTCCCCTCACTCCCACCTGTGCTAATTCTTGCAGTTAAACAAGCTGTGGCACAAGTGGACTTGGAGACACTGAGCTTCCCAAAGAAAGATATCTTCCTTGGTTCTTATGTCACTTTCCTCGTGTTAAAAACACAGGCCCAGCCTGTGTGCTGCTGCATATGGAAGGCAGTTTGCCTTTATTCCATTGGCTGTTGGGAAGAGATTCTTCCCTGTGAGGCTGCTGAGGCACTGGCACAGGTTGCCCAGAGAAGCTGTGGCTGCTCCATCCCTGGGAGAGGTCAAAGCCAGACTGGATGGAGCTCTGAGCAACATGGTCTAGTGGGAGTTGTGCCTGCCCATGGATTGGAACTAGATGATCTCTAAGGTCCCTTCAAAGCCAAAACACTCTGTGATTCCATGATTCTCTGCTTTGTTTGTTGGTGCAGTTTCAAGGATATGTGCTGGGGAGAGCAGAGGCTATTTAGGGCAACAGTGAGCTGGTCTTGTTTGCACACTGAGTTACATGGAGTCCCTGGGAGACAATGCCTTGTGGGACAGTCCTGCCAGCAGCTGGTGTCTCTTGGACTCCTACAGTTCAGTGGTGTTCCTGCTGCATCTTCTTGCTCTTACACCATTTTTGGTCTTTGGTGGCACTGTGTAGCTCAGTGCTGCTTCCCAGTGTTACCAACAGTGTGATGTTGAAAGGACTGGTGAAGAAGTTCTCTAATGGTTTAACTTCTCTACCACATTCCTTCCCTTGCAACTCAGATTTCTTTTGCTCTCCTTTGTCATCTTCCCACTGTTGGAATGCTGGGAGCAGCACTCAGTGTGACACCTGTCACCTGAGGTACCTTGGACACTCAGACCCTGCACCTCACTTCAATCACAGAGACATCCAGATTTTCAGTCAACTTTATTGATAAAATAAGTTTACTGTACAGTACACAATTCTAGCCATAAATTCTTTCCAAGCCATCTGCATTACAAAAATAGCAGGTATGCAATGAAAAATATCACTCCACAGGCTGTGAAGGCTCTTTGAAATCCTCAAGTGGTCAGGTCAGGGGGATGAGAAGGGACACATATCAAATGTGAAGACTAGGAGTAGATAAATTAAGTCACATTGTTTTGTAATTTACAAAAATAAGCACTAATCAAGCATTATTTCCTAATAGAGCAACCTTAGGGTACTGCCATGGACCAATGACCCTTTTCTGGTGGGAAAGCTGAACCAGCAAGTCAGCCCTGAAGCTGCAATTCAGCATCAAATGGACAGAAATGCCTCTGACACCAGGCAATGGCTGAAGAGATGCTTCTAGAAACAGGAACTTCATCAACTGAACCCAAAATGTCTCATGAGTTTGCAACAACAAAACACTCCAGTGAAAAAAAAGGTGTTGCTGCTTCTGATAAGCCACAGCAGAAATGCAAAATCTAATTTAGAGAAGCACGGGCAGGTTTTGCAGGTAATAATAGCAAACAAGAATGTTCTGTGCTCGAGCTAAAATGTTCCCCAAAACATTCTCCTTGAATGTTTAGCAAGTTTGGAAATAGTTACAACTTTTTTTTCCATGCACATGAATGTCCTCAGTGTATTCTTAAGCCTAGAAACAGGGCAAGGTGCTCTGGAAAGAGAAGCAGCAGTTGCTCCATTTATAAAAACCACTGTGAAAATGTGCAGAGCTGATTTTTCTGTCCTTGAAGCACATCTATTAGTTGAAACCAAGCATTTACTGTAT